AAATGGATCCATCTGAAAATCAACACCATATCTATAATATTTATAATTATATATTTTCATATAGCTCTATTTATTAGATTATTTTTAACTATATATAATTATATACAATAATAGTATAAATAGTGACAATAATAATGACAATAAAAGCAATAATAATAAATAGTAAAAATAAATAACACTAACAATAAATAAATAAATGAATAAATAAATGAATAAATAAATAAATGCATACATACATAAATAAATACATACATAAATAAATAAACAAATAAATCAATGGATAAATAAATATAACACTAATAATAGTAAATCACAATTAATTGAAGGAAGTTTAGAAGTCAAACTTCCGACAATATGGACGGATGAAAAGCAGAGATGGGAAGAGTCAGAGAAGAGAAGAGAAGAGAAGAGAAGAGAAGAAGAAAGAAGAAAGAAGATCAAAAAAGAGAAAGTCTCAGAAGAAAGAAGATCCAGGTGCGCGAAAAGGTAGGAAAGTCGCGAAACACTGTGTTTTTCCAATGATTTGTGGCTCCGGAGGGTCGAAAAGTCGGCTCCCTAAAGCGGAGGGTGCGCAAGCACATTTCCAAGTCAATGTACAAAGCACCTCAGCCTCGGAGCACTTTTAGAAGTTGCGATGTCGAAAAAGTTGCGGCGGGAAGCACATTTCCAAGTCAAAACGTACAAAGCACTTCAGCTTCGGATCGAAAAAGTGCACGCCGTTGTGGCGTGAAGCGAATTTGCAACTGAAAAAGCTGAAAACACCTCACGTTCGGAGCACTTTTTGAAGTTGAGATGTCGAAAAAGTGCACGGCGTTGTGGCACGAAGCACATTTCTAAGTCCAAAATGTACAAAACACCATTCTCGGACCACTTTTGGAAGTTGAGATGTCGAAAAAGTGCACGCCGTTGTAGCGCGAAGCACATTTCGAAGTCAAAATGTACAAAGCACACCATTTTCGGACCACTTTTGGAAGTTGAGATATCGAAAAAGTGCACGCCGTTGTGGCGTGAAGCACATGTCGAAGTCAAAATGTTAAAAACACCAGGGGTTCAGACCACTTTTGGATGATGAAGCATTTTGTGTGGCAGGCGCGGGATTCTCCACCTTTACAAAAGTGAGCAAAACGTGAGGGTTTTGTGGCATTTCCAAAAACGATGGTGGGCGTGGGACTTTGGAAGAGGATCTGCAAAGATGGATTTCGCGTGGCAGGTGCAGTACAAGAGACATGTTGATCAGAGATGTTAGGAGGTCAGGCCGCTGATTTCCTGAGAGGGGTTGCATTCTGGAGCATCAGATCTGTAGGTTTGCTAAGATGATTTTGCGTGACAGGTGCAGCACGTTGTATGACTTGGCATCACTTTTTCGTGGCAGGCGCAGCACTTTAGACAGATGGAGTGGAAAAATCGCAAAACGCAATGGTACGAGGCCGTCAGCTCTGCACTCAACTTTCCATTTTTGGAGGAAGTGTAGCAGAATTGTTTCGTTCTTGATGTTGTCAACTTCGAGAATTGAGGAGGTCTCGCAGAATTGCTTCGTTTTTGAGGTTGTCAAGTTGAAAAATTGAGGAAATCTCGCACAAGTGTTTCGTTTTTGATGTTGTCAAGTTCAAAAATTGAGGAAGTCTCGCAGAATAGCTTCGTTTTGAAGCTTGCAGATAGGCAGATAGATAACTACAACTACAACTACAACTACCACTACCACTACATTACAACTACAACTACAACTACAACTGCAACTGCATTGCGCTATACTACGCTAATTACAGTACACTACATTGCAACTACAG